ATAATAATAATAATAATAATAATAATAATAATAATAATGGGGGCTGGAGAGATGGCTCGGCTGTTTTAGAGCACTGGCTGCTCTTCCAGAGGTTCAATTCCCAGCAGCCACATGGTCACTCACAATCATCCATAATGAGATCTGATGCCCTTTTCTGGCATGCAGGCATATATGCAGGCAGAAAACTGTATACATAATAAATGATATTAAGAAAAAGAAAAATCTTGTCTTGAAAGAACACGACATATATATGTGTGTGTATAAATATATATATATTGAAGTGGGTATGTGGTTCATGCCTGCAATCCCAGTATTCAGGAGGCTGAGGCAGGAGGGTTGCTGCAAGTTCAGGACCAGCCTTGTCTACAGAGTAAGACAGTATCTCAAATATAAAGATTAAAATAAACAGAAAAATCTGTTTTTAATTTTCTGAGAATCTTTTGTCCAGTTTAGGAGTTATAGACTTTCTCAGTATCCTGAGGGTGTTTGTGGGGTAAAAAAGGCTAATGTCATGGTCAAAGTCAAAAAATGTGGTCAGGGGTTGGAGAGATGGCTCAGTAGTTAAGAGCACTGACTGCTGTTCCAGAGGACCTGGGTTCAATTCCAGCACATAGTGGCTCATAGCTGTCCGTAACTCCAGTTTCAGGAGGCCCGACACCATCTTCAGGCAAAATACCAATGCACATAAAACAAAAAAAAAAAATTTAAAAGAAGAAATGTTGTTAGTGTAGATTGATTCCTTGATAGATTTGGGATACAGTCTTTCTGAGTAGCAAAGACTGGCCCAGAACTCGCTCTCCTGTTCAGCTGGGATTAAACGTCAGCCACACCCCTCTGGTCAAGTAGATGAGGTCACATCTTCCCTGACTCCTTTGGGGCCAAGGCTCCACCACCTTTTTAGCAAGCAAGTTAAGTATCCTGCATCATGTGCTAATATCCTTCCAGTATGCCCTTGTCGGCACTAATTCATAGCTTCTGCTTGCTTTTCTTCTGCAGTTTATTTCTGGCATCCTGGCGGCTCTCAGTGCCATGATTTCTCTAGAAATCCCACAAGTTAACATCATGACGAAGATGGACCTGCTGAGTAAGAAAGCCAAAAAGGAAATTGAGAAGTGAGTTCAGGGCAGTCTGTCCCCAGGGCTCTCTGTATGGGATGAGCCTTCTGCCCACCGAGACAGGTCCTAGGGTACCAGTCTCTTCCCTCATGTAGTCCTCCCTTCCTTGTCTCTCTCTCCTCACCTTTATAGGTTTCTAGATCCAGACATGTACTCTCTGCTAGAAGATTCAACAGGTGATTTACGAAGCCAAAAATTTAAGAAATTGACAAAAGCTGTGTGTGGCTTGGTAAGCTTCGGCGGTGGTTTCTTCAGATCCTCTCTAGTGGCTCCTCAGGCATCTGTTCAGGGCCAGCTAGTGTCCAACCGTTTGGGCAACACAGTTCAATTTTGTTCCCTGCAGAAAGCAGGAGGGTGGGGAAGAACTTGTTAGTTCAGACCCTTTGACAACTCAGAGCTGTCTGAGCCTTCACACTTTACCACTTCAGGTGACTGAGGAATTGAAATAGGTACCAATGAGACCACTTCTGGTTACCTAGTAACCAGTTATGTGCCAGCAGGTTAGAAGTCAGAAAGATCAGTATCGGGGTCCATTTGGGGTAACAGCCCCTCAGAACTCTACAGACTCGAGTGGGGCGCTACAGCCAGTGAAGGAAAATAACTAAGGGGATCTGAGGGGAAAAACAACTCGCACACTATTTCTCCTCAGTCTGTCTCTTTGTTCTCTCTTCCTTGTCCTCTGTTCTCATTCTTCTGTCCTAACTGTCATAACTTCTTAGCTCTAATTCTGTCTCAATTCTAATTCCAATTCTCTGCTTCATCCTTCTTCATTTTCTTATCTCTGCTAATTTTGGGGATGCTTCTTTTCTAACTACTGTTCCAGTTTCTGTCCTCTCTTTGTTCTTACCCAGCTATAAAGACCCACAAAATCTTAGAGGCATAGAGAGTAATCAGGTAACTTATATAAACAGACAAGGGAAGTTTATGGCCCTTGATCCATTAGCACATTCTTCCAAATGTAGCAGTCTCTGAGGGCCTTTTAGGTCTGATTTTTATTCCTATTGCTCGAAGCTGTTAAAACAAAGAGGACACCCAAGCCTCTAAATTGTCACATCCTTGGCTTGATGCCTATCAGAGTCACCACTGGAGGTTTGTTTTCCTCTGGGCTGTGGGTAGATGGTTAATTATTTTTCCTGTGAGTAAGACACAAGCATCTTTACATCTCCTGGACTAAAGTCATCAGTAAACTGAGGTGAAGGTGAGGTGAGGAGTTAGGAATCTTTTATTTCAAGATTAGTTTTGGGTCATTGCTTTTCTTATTGATCAGTGAGGTAAAACCAGGGCATGCTTATTTTTTCTTTCTGTCTGAGCAGCTCTGAATCAACAGCTTTGGGTATGTAGTAATTCTATGTCTTTGGATATCTGGGAATGTCTTAAATGGAATATATTTAACTAGACCCTAAATACTGACCAGATGTGGATCAGTAAAGAAATTGCAGGAAGGCAGATCTCATTTACCTAGTAGTGGGAAGCAGGTTTCTTGGCTTTGTGACTGTTTTCACACATAACTAGGGGATGTAATCAGTAAACCCCAAATGCATAGGGGAAATTTTGCCCAGTAAATGATCAAATAGTGTTGAACTGTGGGAGATAAATCCCAAATTTCTAACAGATGGGGATAAGCTACAGAGAAATCTACAGTGAGAAACAGCCACTTTATTCACAAGGCAGTAATTCCAACATGCCTTGCATCTAATTCCTCCAAACAGCTCTTGTGAAATGATGCTGATTAGTTACTGAATGATCCTATGGCTCTTAGGTCAGTCCTATCTGGTGCTGTTCTGGCTCTCCCTTTCCTAGTTCAGTGCATATGTGGATTTGTTTGTTTACTTGTTTCTTACATTTATTTGTGTGTGCATACACGCATGTATACCAGGAAGACAAGCTTTGGGAGTTGATTCTTCCCTTCTATCATGTGGATTCTAAGGATGAACTCAGGTTGTCAGGCTTGGCAGCAAGCACTCTTACCCTCTGAGCTGAGTCCTCCTGCCAGAGCACTTTGTTTTTGTTTGTCTGTAACAGTCCTAGCTGTCTTGGAATTTGCTGGTTAGAACTGGCTGACCTTGAACTCACTGAGGTCCAGCCTTTTGAGTGCTGGGATTAAAGGAGTGGCCACCACCACCCAGCCAGCACTTGTGTTTTTAATGAGAAGTTTAAATGATTATAAAACACAGACCTAGAGCTGAGAGGTGGTAGCGCACACCTTTGGGGGGGGGGGGGCAGAAGCAGGCAGATCACTGAGTTCAAGGCCAGCCTGATCTACAGAGCAAGTTCCAGGACAGCCAGAGCTATACAGAGAAACCCTCTGAAAAACAAAAAACACCACAGATCCAGGATGGCAGTTGTATGCTGCACCCCCTGAAAGTGACTCTCTCTTGAACCCCACACCCTAGATCGATGACTACAGCATGGTTCGGTTTCTGCCATACGATCAGTCAGACGAGGAGAGCATGAACATCGTGCTCCAGCATATCGACTTTGCCATTCAGTATGGCGAGGACTTGGAGTTTAAGGAGCCAAAGGTATCTTGGGATTCGGGATGTGAACTCTCTTGAGGTGTGTGTGTGTGTGTGTGTGTGTGTGTGTGTGTGTGTGTCCTAGAGGAGGGGATTCATTTTCTGTTCTGTATGTCTTTTGTGTCAGGAACAGGAAGAAGAGTCTTCCTCCATGTTTGATGAGTATTTTCAGGAACGGCAGAACGAGTGAGGTTGACTGCACGGTGACCATCTGATTGTGGCTGTAGGAATGCATTTCTGGAGGAGGTGACTGGAAGCTGCTGCTTTTTTTAATGTAAACAACACTGGACCCTCCCCGCAGTGTGCCTGGATTGTGCTTGGAGCTTTGAAACCATTACTCTTTCTTTTTCTTTTCTCTTTTTTCTTTTTTTTTTTTTTTGTTTTTTTGTTTTGTTTTTTTTTTTTTTTTTTGTTTTTTT